ATAATATAATAGTAGATCACATTTGTGTGCAAATTATCAAATATTGAAAACAAAMAAGACTGAAATAATGAAATTAAAAGAAAAACAGAAAATTAATGAAATAGCAATGAAAATAAATTAAGAGAAAAACCGATTAACAGACGAGAAATCTTGAAGAAATTACTGAAACATTAGTGAAAAAGGTATTAAACATATTAAGAATTGTACATGACTGAAAATATAATGAAAATTAATGGAAAATAAAGAAGAAATAAATGCAATCAACAAAACAATCTGTAAAAATAAAATACTAAAAAGTTAACACAACAAAATAAAAAAAAACAATGGAATTAATTGACAATCAATTAAATAATCTATAATCATAAATATTCTGAAAATTAATGTAAATAGTATCTCAATAATTAAATTTAACTCATAATATAAACAACAGTTACAATCTATTGATGCATTAATGAATTTATAAAGCTGTTCAGATATCTTTTAATCATTTATCTGATGTGTAAAGTTTATTATTATAAGGACACTTTTGCGGCTGTTTCACTATCACAAGAACTAATGTTAAATGAACTCAATATCACAAATAATTGTCATCGCCATTATCATTGCTGTTTGAATGTCAAGATTCAGAGGGGACCAATCTGAATAATAGCTAATAGCTACATGTAGTAGCTGTCTGTAATACAAATACAAACTTTTTTTCTAAACAAGCTGGATTAAATATTCAGTTTGTGATTAATTTACATGGCATATCACATTGTCTTACCTGGTTGCATCAGGAGAGTATGCCAGTTCGTCATCATCACTAAGAAGTTGCATCTTCAGTAGCTTGGCAATAAGGTCTTGACCTCTCTGAGTCAATAGAAGYTTYTCKGCGTTGTTAGGCAGTCCTAACCAAGATGGYGTCTGAATGTCGGGTAGCTTATCAACCCACTGGACAAACTGTTCACGTCTAATGCCTTCTGGCATGATGATATTCTTGCCTTTKCCATCAACATCAATAATCAGTGGGAAATCTGGCTCAAAGCTATTCACAATGAACAGCCGATTTACAAAGGTAGTCAGAAGACGCTACAAAAAAGAAATGTCAGTCCAATTAATAACAATAATATAAAAAGTAAGTAATAAATGCATTAATAGGTCAACTACAAGGAAACGCAMATGATTCTCAGCGAMTCTGAGATTCAAGCTTACACMCTTGTCAGACAGAATTTAATCTAYTGTATGTTTTGCTCTGAGCACTGTGCAGTCACTTCAGCTACAAATTTACTTGGCTAATAAATGAACAATACAGCAGAATCTMACCTGATCAAAATCATTGTCAATACGTCCACCATAAATTGCTGACGACATCAAAGCTCTAAGAGCATCCCAAGGGATTTTCTTTGGAGGTAGATTATTACGSCCCTACACGAGATTAAAAAACACATATAAAATTCCCATTATTTATTTATAGACATAATTCACCATTATCTATTCATACCTGTGCCACGGAGTCCAGCCATGTGTCAAGTGTATCAAAACCAACTCTAAGATCAGACTCAGTRAAYTCATACCGCTTGGACCATCCCAGTGGGGAATAACGTAGACGTTCCTGGACAATAGCATGCAGCCATGCCAGTAGGAAATAAAGACGGGCCCGTTCACTTGGAGCCTATTAAGAAAACAAGAATTCACTCATTTTATTAAGTATGGTGAAAATGGTGAGAGAAACCTTAGCCTATAGCAAGATCTAGATAAAACTGGAGCCATTGTTTCTACCTGACACATGCGTGATGCTGGAACTGCACTGAATGTCCTGAGCAGATTTGCCTTGACACCAGGTGGAGGCTCAAAGACAAAGATACGTGACGCACGCAATAGATTGACAGGAACCTTGGGGTTRATCTCCATAGTCATGAAGAGCCTGAAGTTGGCATGTGGGCTTAAAGTGTGTAGCTTCTTCTCTAGAGTGACTARCCATTGTGGAGCAAGATGAACATTCTTTAAAAGCACCCATCTATGAAGAACAAAAAAAAAATGTTTTAGAATGACACATACTTAGTAAAGAACATAAGAGCTGTTAATATATCACTAAGGAAAAATAGAGTTTAATTTGAGGGGTTTCCTTTTGTTTCTTGCTTTGACGGAATCCATTTCTTCTTAAATCACAGCTGTTCCATGGTAATTTTAATGGAGTTCTTGTCAATGATATAGATCCTTTGAATGTGTTTTTGAGGGGTCTTTATAGCATTTTGTGAAGGTAGAAGAGATCACTACTAACCTTCCCGACTTGACAGCAGAGTTGATGGCTTTCTCTGCATCATTGAATCCTTCAGCAGAACCTGGTACAAGGAGCAATAGAAATAGATGAATGAATGAGGAATAAAACAAAATACTACTAGCCAACCATGTCAGAATAATTTCAAACAACAAAACCTACCRATAGCAATTGATGAGCAAGATTGGTTTTGATTTGCAGCCAAGTCGTCTACCCATCCACTGGCGTCGTAACCAATCACTGAGCACAATARCAATGGTGTTGATGCCTTGACCTGGAACAAATAATGGATGAATGGATATAAAATAAAAAAATGAAAAAATGGATAAATGATAAAAATAAATAAATGAAAAGTTATTGAATGAAAAAAATAAAATTCAAGAATCAATCAATCAATCAACAAAAAATAGGCCATTTGCATTATGGCATAACTTTACTACAACTACCAGAGAGCCTTGCACATTTTCATTGTTATTCAGATTTTTAATCCCCTTGGAGATTAATAAAACAATTGGCACTACAAAAGAAATTGCATTACAAAAGAAAGTTGGCAAAGCATTCTGGTAGTTGTAGTAAATGACGCCATAATGCAAATCGGCTATTGTATAAAAGAAATGAGAAATTGAATCAATTCAGAAATTTGCTATGGTATTAAATTTCAAGTGTAAAGCCATTCCATGGAGACATCTACARTGCTTCTGCACCAATCTAATATCACATGATCACAATTCACTCACCTCCTTTTCAACAACTGTTGCAAGGTCAAGCCCTTGCTCTGCGTCATGCATAAAGGACTCCCCAAAGATTACATCCACCACTTGRTGCAGCATGGCAATGACACGGTCAGGTCGAAGAGCCTGGATCACGAGAAGCTGGTGGACTGACTTTCCTGTTGGAGCTGTAAGGTGATAATTATACTGTATGGTTAGTATTAAAAGTGTATAACTACAGATAACAACACTGTTTTAACATAGTAGAAGAAGAAGAAAGGCACCATGGCTGATGGAGAAAGATGGCAAAATGGTCATGTATTGCAATGATTAATGATGATTCAAGTCGTAGTTGATTGTAGAGTAGTTAATTTGATCATTAAAATTTTTAGTCCTTGATTGGTTAGACATATTTGAATAAAGTTTTTATTTTTTTTCAAGTCTTGCCATGTTCACTTGCTAAGAAATGATTTCCATTTTTTAAGTTAAGCATCCCCAACACACTTCTAAACATAGCATGTTAGAGTTTAGTAACCAGATAACAAAGAGTAGTGGTTGAGAGTTTTACATTTACAATGTTTTACAATGTTGCAATATTAATTGTACTTACTAAGATTAAGGCTTGCATCCCAGCATGATGGGACRTCTGTTTCTGGTGTGATTGACTCTATCCACTCAAAGAACTCCTACAAAACACAACAAACATCATCTTTACTTTTGCCCAAGTTRATTTCACATTTTAGTTTCAGTAGTGTCACTAAACAGGCTCCTAMAGGTACAAAGTATTATGAGATATTGACCATGAATGTCTCTTACTCTTCTATTRGAGTTRATGTATGTCTGCATGTTCTTGAAGGCATCCATTTGTCCAAGTCTTGTCAGAGCACTTGCCTTGGAAAGAATGTGAAACATAACATTAATATGAAGCCAAAATCACCATCAAAACTCTATTCACCCCATTATTTACCTGCTCTGGAGTAAATCCTTGCAAGCGYTGTGGTTTACTGGCTGGYACTGCTTCACTTCCACGCATAAACATGCTRAATTCCTCCTCRTACTCTTTCTCACTGYRAGAACAAAATARTCATTTAGAAATACGGACAGAAGGACAGAYAGACGGACAGGTGGATARAGAGACAGACAAGTTGTCATACCTGGGGTGTCCTCGTAAAAAGATACGRCAAAGAAGGATGGCAAAAGTCATGCGATCATTGTGCATCATACCACGYGCAACTCTGTTATACACAATCTATASAATGACAAAGTTGTATTCATTGAATGAGGAATGGGATAAACAATCAGCACAAATGAATGAATGGGATATTGAATGCGATATTGAATGGATTATTGAATGGGATATTGAATGGGATTTTGMTTGCCTTWCATGAATGCACAACCAAGAGACAAACAMGAATCAAGARATAAATGGACAAATGAAAAAATGCAAAAAAYCATAAAAATAAAAGAAAAAATTAAATAAAAAGCAAATGAAAGARTAAAAAAAAAWTCATCAWAAAATGAATGAAKGGRAAAGGAAATAGGASAAAGAAATAATGAAAATATAAATGAATGAAAAA